GAAATTGCTTATGGAAAAACAATATGGAAGGTTTAAACACGTTGACTATTATTATTATATGAGGAAAAAAATCTAAAGGCCAACATGTAAGAGTATTTTTTAATCATAAAAAAGGAAACGTATCTTTATTTTCTTGGTAAGAAACTTTTGACTTTTGAGAATAATATTATAGTGGTCATAGTAGCTTCGTCCATAGAATAGAGGGGCACATATGAAACTATACCAAAATACACACATGAGGCTGGAAACAGAGATTTAATATTTTTATTTATTTTTTTGTGTTTTTTCATATAAACCCTAGATTAAATTTCACGTTTCATTTTTTGGTTAGATAGAAGATCAGATTCTTCATTTTCCAAAGGAACAAAAAGGTGAGTCTCGATGCGTGAGAAATCCAATTAGATTTTCTTCTTCTTCTTTCATTTTTCGAGGTCGTCTTTCGTGTGTGTTGCTGAATTGAGGGATCGGGGTCGCTCCGATTTAGAATTTTCGTTAATCTGAAAAAGGTGAATCTTTCTTCTGTTTTGTTTAGCTTTTGGGTCGTAATTTCATGGATCTTGCTTTCAGATGATAAGAATGTGACTTTTTGTTTATTTTTGCGCGTCAAGCTCAGTTTTTTCTGTTCTTAACTCAGTGATTAGTAAATATTGTTGATTTTTTGGATATATGGGTATTGCTCAAGCTCTTGATTTGATATGATGGGTATTCGAATTACGGAAGACTGAATTTTTTATATATTTCTTTTGGTATTTCTGTGTGTAGATCTTGTTGTGTTTGTTCTTGGAGATTGATGTTGCTGCATTTTGGGGTTTCTTATGATGCAGATTTATTGAAGTAGTGTTTAATTTTGTGGATTATTGGAGACAAGCGAAGATGATTTCTAGGTCGTATACGAATTTGTTAGACTTGGCATCAGGGAATTTCCCTGTTATGGGAAGAGAGCGTAGGCGGCTTCCTAGGGTAATGACTGTTCCTGGTAATGTCTCTGAGTTTGATGAAGATCAAGCTTATAGTGTGTCTTCCGATAATCCGTCCTCGGTTTCCTCTGATCGAATGATCATCGTTGCTAATCGGCTTCCCTTGAAAGCCGAGAGAAAAAATGGGAGCTGGAGTTTCAGTTGGGATCAAGATTCATTGTATCTGCAGCTTAAGGACGGTTTGCCTGAAGATATGGAGGTATTGTATGTTGGATCTTTGAGTGTTGATGTTGATTCAAATGAACAAGACGATGTGGCGCAGATACTGTTGGACAAATTTAAATGTGTTCCGACTTTTTTCCCACCTGATTTGCAATCGAAGTTTTATGATGGTTTTTGCAAGAGGCAGTTATGGCCACTCTTCCATTACATGCTTCCGTTTTCAGCTGATCATGGTGGGAGATTTGATAGGTCTCTTTGGGAGGCTTATGTAGCGACAAACAAGCTCTTCTTCCAGAAAGTAATCGAGGTTATAAACCCAGATGATGATTTTGTCTGGATACACGACTACCATTTGATGGTCTTGCCTACATTTCTGAGAAGACGGTTTAATCGGATAAGGATGGGTTTTTTCCTTCACAGTCCATTCCCCTCGTCCGAGATATACAGATCTCTTCCTGTTCGTGAAGAGATACTTAAGGCGTTACTAAACAGCGACCTGATTGGTTTCCACACGTTCGATTATGCTCGTCACTTCCTTACTTGCTGCAGTCGGATGTTGGGTCTAGAATATCAATCTAAGAGAGGCTACATCGGGCTGGAGTATTACGGGAGGACTGTGGGAATCAAGATCATGCCAGTGGGTATCAACATGGGTCGGATTCAATCGGTGATGAGATATTCAGAGGAGGAGGGTAAGGTGTTGGAGCTCACAAAGCGTTTCGAAGGTAAGACAGTGTTGCTCGGTATTGATGACATGGATATATTCAAGGGTATAAACCTGAAGCTTCTAGCTATGGAACAAATGCTCAAGCAGCACTCGAATTGGAGGGGAAGGGCTGTCCTGGTTCAGATTGTAAATCCTGCTAGGGGTAAAGGTATTGATGTAGTGGAAATACGTGGTGAGATCGAAGAAAGCTGCAGGAGGATCAATGAAGAGTTTGGAAAACCTGGATATCAACCTATCGTATATATTGATACTCCAGTTTCGATCAATGAAATAAATGCTTATTACCACATCGCTGAGTGTGTTGTCGTTACAGCGGTTAGAGATGGTATGAACCTTACTCCCTATGAATATATCGTTTGTAGGCAGGGTTTGCTTGGGTCTGAATCAGATTTTAGCGGCCCAAAGAAGAGCATGCTGGTTGCATCGGAGTTCATTGGATGTTCTCCTTCGCTTAGTGGGGCTATACGTGTAAACCCATGGAACGTTGAAGCGACTGGAGAAGCACTGAATGAGGCCCTCTCAATGGGCGATGCTGAGAAACAGCTGCGACATGAGAAACATTTCCGGTATGTTAGTACTCACGATGTAGCTTATTGGTCAAGAAGTTTCTTGCAAGACCTGGAGAGGATATGTGTGGACCATTTCAAGAAAAGGTGTTGGGGGATGGGGATTAGTTTTGGTTTCAGAGTTGTGGCTCTCGATCCTAATTTTAGAAAGCTTTCAATACCGTGCATTGTGTCGGACTACAAAAGGGCAAAAAGCAGAGCTATACTGTTGGATTATGATGGCACTCTGATGCCTCAAAACTCCATCAATAAAGCTCCAAGCCAGGAAGTTCTTAACTTCTTGGATGCACTTTGTGAGGACAAAAAGAATTCAATTTTCATTGTCAGTGGAAGAGGGAGGGACAGCTTAGGCAAATGGTTCACCCCGTGCAAAAACATTGGAATTGCGGCCGAGCATGGATACTTCTTGAGGTACTTTCCTTCTCTAAATTTTACTACTACTTGACTAAATGTGTAGAACTCTTCTCCTTAATGGTTAGTCTCTACATTTATGTCTATTTCTTAGGTGGTCAGGCAATGAGGAATGGGAAACATGTGGGCAGGGATCTGATTTTGGGTGGATGCAGATCGTGGAACCTGTAATGAAACAGTACACTGAATCTACGGATGGCTCCTCCATTGAAATCAAAGAGAGCGCTTTGGTTTGGCAATATCGGGATGCAGATCCAGGCTTTGGTTCTTTACAAGCAAAGGAAATGTTAGAGCATCTAGAGAGTGTTCTAGCTAATGAGCCAGTCGCAGTCAAAAGCGGTCACTACATCGTAGAAGTCAAGCCACAGGTAAATTACATTCTCTTCTGCCTCATTCAAGCATCAATGTTTTGAAACATATCTAATTCCTGGCGTTGTGAGTATAGGGAGTGAGCAAAGGATCAGTGTCAGAGAAGATATTTTCATCGATGGCTGAAAAGGGAAAACCAGTTGATTTCGTGCTATGTATTGGAGATGACCGATCTGATGAGGACATGTTTGAAGCGATTGGTAACGCCATGTCGAAGAGATTGCTCTCTTCAAATGCTCAAGTCTTTGCATGCACAGTTGGGCAAAAGCCAAGCAAGGCTAAATACTATTTGGACGATACTACTGAAGTTACAAGCATGCTTGAATCTCTAGCTGAAGCATCAGAAGCTTCAAACTTCTCTTTGCGTGAGCTTGATGATGCCCTTTGATCTGAAACCAGAATCTTTGCCAGGTTTTGTCCTCTATGATCATCTTTGTTCTATTTGCTATCTTTCTGGTCTTGTTCTCATAAACACTATCAAATGTTTGTATAGATGGCTAAAGGGATTTAGACAGACAAAGAAAAGGAAAAAGAAGAGACTGGAGTTTGGTCTGTTTGTGGTTGAAAGAAAGAGATGAGAGTATTAATGGT